GTTTTGAGTCTTCCATCCCTGCTTTGCATGGGTTTTCACCGGCTTCCTCCCACATTCCAAAATCATGCAAGGTTGGTTAACTGAAGACTCCAGCTTGTCCGTTTGTGTGAATCCGAGTGTGAATAGTTTGTCTCCAGGATCGAGGTGTAACTGCCTCTCACAGGTCAAATGGGATCGACTCCAGATCCTAATTGAGCCCCTAATTAGGTACCATAGAAAATTATTCCAAACAACAACACAAGAGGGAGCCACTTAGATGGCAAACCCATGTTTCAATACATTACCAGTATTGTTGCATGCTCTGTTTGTATGCGTTGCTACTCCGCGTGTGATAAATGAGGAGTTGTCTGAAGGTTTTGGTATTGCTGTGATTTCCATCAGCCAATTCACCGGGTTTCAAATTACGATAAACGGGTGTTCAATGTACCCCAAATTGTACCAGATGTTCTTTATATCATGCATGTAGCCACTGTTTAGTACCTACATTCATTCTCCCCTCTATTCAACCCCAAGAACCCTGTCGAAAGCTTCCGCAACTTCAACACTTTTTTTGTTGGCCCGCCTTATCTGCTACAGTGCTCTGTAAATAATGCTTTGGGTTGGACTGAGGTCAGAGCTCTTTGAGACAGCATCGGGGTGATCTTAGAGGAAAGGACATCAAGGTCATCGAGCAGATGAGGCTGTCGGCAGGGGGTGGCTATCTCAAATACACACAGCATGGCTTAGTTGCCTCTACCCCCTTGTGGTGAAAAGGTGTAAGTGCACAGTCCATGTCGCAGACGCAATGGAAAGAAGGTCGCTTGAGCGTTTATTCATTGTCCTGTTAGTACGTACACGCTTTGTTCTCACGAGAAAGACACTTCACCACACTAGTCGAACGACTAGTTTGTAGTACTAGTAGAACAAGTGTGTGCATTTGATAGAAAATGCCACAGAAGTAATGTTACTCCGATAGAGAGCGCTGTTCGCCACAAAGTATGTTAAACTGCAGTGAACACAATGAAAGCAAAGCATTTTTTTTAATGCATAGACCTCAGATCACCACTAAGTGTCAGTGTTTTTCAAAACATCAGTTTGTGGGAATTACATACCTCACTGTTCAAAAATACATGTCACGTATTTTAGAATATTACTGCGAGGCTTAGGCATGAATTCAGTTTTTATTTATTAGTGATGCAAGGTTTTTTTTCCATTTTATAAAGTGTTTAAAGGATTTTAATGCCATTTAATGTATTTTAGTCAGCAATTTATTTTACTTTATTGTGGTCTTCTCTTTGCATTTGGAGATAGCGGGGATGTTCCGAATGTTTGCATTATTTGTGCATCTGGTGCGTCTGATTAAATGCTTATCATGCGAAGTTCAAATAGTTGAACAATATCTTTTGGTTGATAAATGGATTGGCTTCGTTTTTGACAATGTAATAAATTTCTATGACCACGTTGAATGTAAGTGTTTTCGTGAGCCAATGTCGTAAAACTGTGCTTTGAATGCCGTTCTGTTTTGAATAACGCTGCAATGCATCATGTCAAATGCGCACCTTTGTGAAACATCAAAGCTTCAATAAACCTTTTGACCCAAATAAATAAATAAACAAGTGAAGGGGGCAAGCTTGTCTGATTAAGGCCTCGCTTTCCCAGCTCTGACGATGATGATGTTGGCCCACGTCTCGTCAAATGTCCCTGCTGGGCCCCGTACAGTAAAGAGGCTGGAAAGAGCCTCATCCAAGACAAAGAATACGAAGGGGAAACAGGGCGCGTGGGCCACCTTTGGTTCAGTTTGTGTTCCGAGACCCCAGGGGTCTGGTCCAGAATCTGCTCGTGAAGACTTCGTCTTCAAGCTGCTATATGGAGATATACAGTAACAGTGCAGTAGATTTAAAAAAATCTGGAATGGCAATAATCACAGTAACTGTGATGTCATTCTATGGCAGACAACTGCCTGGCCACCACACAAACTGGATCTCATTCACTCTTAAACGCGTGGAAAGGAAAATGTCACTTTTTCAAAGTATTTCCACTGGCGTTCGATGACGGTCAAAAATGATTTTGTTTCAGATTGTGTCATGTTTTTTGTGTCCCTTGTTCATGTCTTGTCAACTCACCAGCCCTGTTCCGTGGGTGTGCGTGCGTGTGCGTGTGTGTGTATCACTTGCATACACTTTCCTGAATGTTAGGGCCGATATGTCCTGACCAAACAAGGTCAATGGACAAAAATAGACACCTGAGACCCTGCAAGTGATTTGCGTACATGAAAAACTTTTATTTTTTTACTCCCTATTTGAAGTCGGAGGAATCCATCTTTAAAGAGGCACCAGAAGCATTGGTGTAAAAACGTGTCCCTACTGTAAGCTGTTCTGCCCCTGACAGATTTATGGTTGCAAAAGTGCTTGGACCAACATTCAAGTGCTGACATAAGGCTCTGGGAAGCACATATGTCAGCACGATCACGTGAATGCACGCATATTGCTCCACGCTTAAGTGTGGGACATAAATGCAGTACTGTTGAACATGGGGAGTAGAAAACATGGGCTGCTTGGTGGAGGTTGGACAACGTCACTCACTTTTGTGCTTGCTGAGCATGTAAACAATTCAAGATGGGTCACAGCCACTGTGTCGTATACTATTCAAAGTGACGACATGTTTTGCCCTGAGGTACTCCTAAATGCCTGATTTGGATTTTATGATTGGTACAGTGAACACGTACTGATTTGATCTTTTGCCACCTCTGCCATCTTATCGGGTATTGTTCAAAATCAGCAGGATTCTTGCCTTGGTCACGCCGCGATGCCTGATAGATTGAAGCGGATTTTAAAACCAGACTGACTGAGATGTGACAGTGAGCGTACCGATTGAACAATTGGTCTGGATTCCGACTGGCTTAATCGTGACTTGTTGAGGGGCGACCATATACTTGGACTGATTTGACCTTTGGCTTCAGCTGTTTGGGCAATGTTGTGTTCGCTATTAAAAGTCAATAGACTTCTTGCATTGAGTGGCAAAATAATACCGGAAAGGAGTTTGAAATCGTGATGGATAAAGAGGTGACAGTCAAAATGTCAACATAGGCTTGTTGGGGCTCTGTTTTAGTCAATAGATATGAAGTGATTTTAGTTCTTACTTGAGTTCAGAACATCAGTGTTCCTGCTCATGATCATCCCATTTGGATGGCTTCTACAGCTTGAGCTTGTACAGCTGTCTAAAATGTCCGCTCTAAGTGCGCGGCAGGCTTGCCCATTGAATCCTGATTGTGCCTTTGAAAAAGCCATCAATCTTTTGTTTGGCTCCACACACTGAAGAGCTTTCCAACGCAAACTAGCCGATTCCTCGAAATCGCTAGTTTGCTTGATTCCAGGCATTGGCAAAGTGCAGGAAATGGATTGAGTCCCTCATACGATGCAAAGCGCTTGCGTTAAACTGGATTACATTCCCACCTGCGCAGATGTCTTTTGAGCACCTGGGCTTGCACGTGTTTGGCTAATGAATAAAACATTTGGCCGAGTTGTTTGTTTGTTTGATAGTCTGCCGACATCAGGGCCAACGCTCAGGCTGACCCAGACACATACCTTGCAATCCCAAATGGGGAAGGAGGAGGGAAGAAAAAAAAAAAAGCAGAAACATCTGCAAAAAACATTCATATTTGCACGTTGAAACAAGGCTCCTGCTATTTTCCTTGTCATTGTCTTCAGGTGTTCTGAAAATGATGAAACATTCAAGAAAATGATGTTTTTGTCTCGCTTTGTGTGCCTGGAGGTGACAGACATTCTCGCTCTTTGCGGCTTCTGACATTCCAGTCTGCTCCCCGCCTCGCTCCGCTTTGAGGTCAAAGCTTTCCCTGGACAAACTCAGACAAGAGGCTCCCTTGAAACCTGCCCGTGTTTCCTCTTTGCTCCCAACACACACACACACAGGATGTTGGACTGTTTAGCCTTAATGTTGATACAGTTGGATCCTCTCAGGTCGAACATGATTCGTTCGGACGCTGGACGCTCTTTGAATTTCCCCGTAGGAAAGAGTGGAAAATGAATTAATCCGTTCCAGACTCCGGTCTCATAAAACCTCGATCTACTATTGGTCCAAAAACGCATACTCTGTCCTCACTTCATAACCTGTTACCTGTAGAGTGGCACCTAGAGATACAGATTTACGAGTTTCCGCTTTAACTTGCGAGTGTACGCTTGAGATACGAGCGCTGCATGATGTTAGTCAGCTCAACTCACTCCGCAACAGGCAGCTGCTTGGCAGATAGAATTAGTGAGCATTGCTTGAAAGAGGAGGCTCAAAGCTGTTTGTCGCCACTCCAAAATTTACTCTCAATCTAAAAGAGAACGGCACTGTGTATTGTAAGCAACTGCATATTAGCCTGGGGAGTCAGCTAGCTTAATGCTAATGCTAATAATTGATGGGGAAAAAAGCCATAGCATGCTAATGAATGGCATGTATGTGTTGGGGTTGCGACCCTTTGCGCAATGGATATTTGAACACAAACAGTGGAGCAGCACACGTAGACAGAACATCTGAGAGATACATTCTTTATCCTCTGCAAAGAAATATGTGGCATACAGGTTGTTTTATTTGAACAAATATGACCTAAAGTGGGGGAGCTTGGTAGGCTAGTGGTTAGCACGCCAATGTTTTGCTTGGCACCGTTTTGTTGTCAAGGAACTATGCTGAAATGAATTGAGGAGTTTCATTTTGACAAACAATGTTTTGCTGCCACCTCATGGCATCCATAGGTAGTTATTCACGAGTCGCCACTATCCGTAGGCACGCATGTTAGCATTGAATGGTCCATAGTTGTGTTTGTTTTTGTCTCCTTGTGCTCTGCAATTTGCCTCATGACCAGCCCAGGGTGTACCAAGCCTCGAGCCTTTTAGGTATACGTTTTGCATGTTAATATCTGTTTGGTGAAAGTTATGAATTCATTTTATTGAATTAGAGCTAACTTGAAATGAATGCAATAACATCCGTTTCCTATTCTATGGTTATCACCACACCTTGGAGACAATTTTTAAACCATTTTATTCACAATTTCAAAGCAAGAGAGCAGTTCATTGCATAAACAGCTTGTAGTCAGTGCGGAACATTTCCTGTTTTGTTGAAGTCGCAGCAATGCCCTCTGTTTTTGAGTTGATCACTGATGCAGCAAATGTGTTGTTTTCTTTACTTAACTGCATGCTGTGACTTGTTTCGCTGTACAATCCTTTCATAAAACAATACAAGAAAAAAAGGAATACTATTTAAATATTTCCCAATACAAAAATGAATAACTTATACAATAATTGTAGTCTGAAGGATAATCAAGGTAAAACGATTATGTACATTTACATAAAAAAAAACACAAAGTAAATGTTAAGTATTTTGGATATTTACAAACAATTAAGGTGCACTTGAGTGTTTTGCTCCAAAACTGCATCACAAAGATATCTCCGACATGTTGTGCTTAAAAAAAAAAAAAATTAACGAAAGGGTGAAACAGGCTGATGACAGCAGCGTTAAACTGTAGATGGAAGTCATGCACTGCGAGAACTATATGAGGTGTCAACCACAGCACCAGCATCGCCAACACTTGTGTTGGCTTTTGGTTTGATCGTGGTATTATTCCGTTAAACAATACAAAAAGAAAATGTACTGTACAGTTGAACTTTCTAAGTGCACTTTTGCCGATTCATCACAGGCTAAAAATAGACATCCGAGAATGAAGCGTGTGTTGTTGCTATGCCGGCGTCCGTTTGAAGTTATATCCCAACATTCCGACAAAAGCAAGAGCACACAACATGGAGGTGTGATGCCCTAGTAGCACCATAGTGAGCAGACATGAGCAGCTATCGTGATGTCAGGGCCTTGATGGCTACATTGTCAATGGTAAAATGTACGTAGCACCGCATGTATGTGTGTGTGTGTTTTAAGGACCCATTCTCCATATAAATAAATTTAAAAAAAATCAAATAGAGTCCAGGCAAGTATAAAAAAAAAAGTCTCGAATAGTTACATTAATTTACAGTTCACGTACACACCGTCAAAATGATCTGCTGCCTTCAAATGTGTCTTCGTGTCTTTAAATAAGCCGTATATACAAAATAGACTGGCCCATGCCGGTTGTGCAAATCGTTATGCCTTTCGATGCCAATAGTGTCTCTGTGGTAGTGGGGCTGGCCAGGGCCTGGTTTATTTGAACCAGTGCAAGTAGTTGGTCTTCAGAGCAGGGAAGCACATGTTGTTGCTGCACGAGCCGCCGTAGCTGGGGGGGCAGGCGGAGCAGGGGACCCCGACTTTGTAGGGAGCCTCTCCGATCCAGTTGCCCCTGCGAGACGCGACAGCCGAAAGTGTCAATAGACCTCGAAAGTGGGCAGGATGAAGACTAGGAACAGCAATCTTTTACTTTATAAAGCTCATCTGTGGTGTAAATTGAAACAGATGATTTTTGCTATCATTATTGTTCGTTTTTGTTTTTCTACCTATCTATCTATTTGCATTTGCCATTTTGGGACAAATTGAGATCTTAAGTATGAAAGATTGAATGCATAAAAAAAATAAAAGCATGATTTGTGTTCGGCGTGCGTAATCTCATGGCTACAAATCCACATGATCGCAGTTGATGCATTTGTAGTGTGTCCAATAGACGACAGCCAAATGGCAGCTGCAGTGGAGGGAGTCTTAAGTGATGAATCGAGCTCTTGCGTGATTAAAGCCAAGTCATGTTGACTCTCACAAGTCAAGAAAGTCGGTCATCAATGGGCAGAGTGCTTTGCATATATCTCAAACCAATGGGATGAAATGACCTTGCTCGTAAATCCAAATTGGCTTTAATTCTTGGAACGGCTCCCCTTTCCTTTTCTTTTTCTTCTCAAGCGCTTTAGTTGTACAGTACCTGTTTAAAGGCTTGTACTGTATTGAGTCTTATCTGAATCTCCCCCGCAACATGGGTGGCATTTCACAGCTTGGCACTAAGCGGCACGAGCGGGCGACGGGATTAGAGCTGCCGTCGCCCAGCCGTCGTCAGGTGAACTGGTTCATTGGTAAAAGCGGCATGTCGCAACCCGTGAGCTACTTACTTCGGCGAGTAGTTGCAGACTAAATATGTGGCCCGTTTCCACACGGATCCCCAAACGTTCATATTGTGGCAGGTGTGAACGGCACAGCCCACTTTGTTGGAGGTGGCCCACACCATCTGCAACAAAAGACAAAACAGTTGTCATTGAAGGCAATTTTATACATTATGCCAAAGAATAATGTTAAAGTGAGGGGAAGAAATTGATTTTCAAAGCGCATAGCCGTGTCTAATGTAAAAGTAGCGTGTTGATGCCACCTATAGGGAATCACAAAACGCCGCAACCATTCCAAGTACCCTATAAAGTTTCATCAGAATGAACGCATCGGCAACATTTTATGGCTTTTTTAAAAAAAAAAATTTTTTTTTATTTATTTTTTATTTTTTTATGCAGAAGCACTCAAAATTGCACTTTATTTGGACTAAGAATAAGATGCTGCATTAGGCCGACGAAATGAAGCAATTTCAAGAGGGCTTTTGCTCACTCTGGCCCTCGTGATAGCTTGTAGGAATAGCTTGCTTACCTGTGTATAATGGGTGCACATGGGGCCGTAGCATCTGAGGGGGCATCGGGGGTTGCAGTCACGGGGGTAAGGAAAGGAGTAATCTTTGACCTCGTCGTACCACGGCTTCACAAGCTGAAGGATTGAACGATACCTGTGAAGAGAAGCCCACCGCTACTTCAATTGGTTGCGCAGATAGTCAGCTGTGTTCACACCCACAAGGGTGCAAACCGCCTGTTTCTTAAATTGCGTGCATCGGCGAAGAAGCCAAAAGTCGTCTCGCTCGTCCATGCAGATTTACGCCATGCGCCAGACTTGCACTGAGCACGAATGTAGAACCCAAAGTGTTTTGCAAATTAAACATTCCTATAGAAGTAGATAAATGGGTTATTTGCCTTTATTTTAGCTCCTGCCAACCTATAAGCCCAAAACATTTGCAGGATATATCATAAATCTGATTATTATTTATTGTAATATAGAATAATGCATTGCTTGTGTTTGCAAGAATTTTGATAGGAGGGGATACAAAGTGAAAACAGTCACACTTAGTATGACTTGTGCTCCCCTGAGTCTCATAGTGTTGCTCCCAAAAAATGCATTGGTGAACGATGGTCCACATGGAAAGTCAAGAGCGACCGAAGGGACGCTTCTTTGTCCTCATGGGTCAAGCCTGAAAGCATAGCTTCTGTTTATTTGAGGGGGCACACGAGCATTCCTTGAGCAGTCACCAGGTCACCGTTCAAGGGGAAGAAAAAGGAAGGGTGGGTGGGGGGGGGGGGGCAAGGCAATGACCGTGACTGCAAAGCAGCATCATGCCTGCTGAGAGTGCTGCAGCAGATGTTGCCCATGGGTGTCTGGGGGAGTGTTAGAGGTTCGCAGTTCACCTACCGTCCTGTCCTGACGGAGAGGTTCTGACCCAGAAACCTGAGGAGGTGAGACGGGCCGTGCTCCCACATGCAGGCGTGGGCCCAGCTCTCAGCTGACTTGGCCAGTGTATCATCCCACACCTAGACATACACACACACACACATGGAAACCATTACACAAGTCATGTAAAATATAAACACAAGATCCGCTCCATCTAAGTCACATTTAGCACTCAGATGTGAGCTACGGCATCCATCAAAACGGTTACATAAGAGAAGTGAGCGGACAGGCAGCCGTCACGCAACTCTTTGATCTAAAAGGCCTTTTCTTCTTCTCATTGCTGAAGGCAAATTGGACAGTTTCCAATTGTGGAGGCAAACACTGGCGTGCAGATGTGGAGCATCCAAAGATGACTGAACTCCACAAAAGCTTTCTAATGAATATGAGCCCAAAACAGAAGCAGCACTTTTTAGAGTAAGGAACCATATTTGGTCATTTGAGCCACAAGGAACAGCACGTGCATTAATGAAAGAACCACCTCCATCCCTCCATTTTCTCTTTAGGTTAAAACCAGTATCATTGCATTATTGTTGTTGAGGTCATGAGAACAAAATATAGAGAAAAATGTCCTTACGTTTTTTGTTTTTTTTTTACATTTTAAATGAACTATGACATTGAATAAATAGTTAGCATCTTGCGCTAAGATGATTTACTGCCATCGCTATGAACACTGGTTTTTCATAGCGATGCCAGTAATGTTGTCATTTGACTTTTGCTCGAAATCACTGTTAGGCATCCTTAGTGCGACGCTCCACTAGGATGCATGATCCCTGCTTCCTTTTGGAAATGACTGCATAGGTGGTCCAAACTGCTGGCCAGAGGAAAATCGACAAAGACTGATACAGTACTAACTTTCGAAACCAGGGCAGAAAAAAAAACACCACTTTGGCTCCATCGAATGAATGCATCTTTACCATGCAAGTCTCCTCCACGGTGGGCGGTGCATTGACGTCGTAGAAGATTCAGACTCACCATGTATTCCATGTTGGACGCCGGAGGAAACACCTTGCCCCTCACTTTGTTGTGGTAATCAAGAATAGCCACCATGTCGGTCTGACTAATGTAGCGCTTCCTCCTGCTTTTCGAAGAAGAGCCGCCGTCCGTCCCGGCGTCCGCGCTGCTCGAATTGGCCGCGTGCAGGGCGGAGGAGGGCGCGGAGGTGACGGTGACTGCCAGTGAACTTGTTGCGCAAAGTACGCACAAAAAGATGAACGCAAGTAAGTGAGGCTGCATGTTTTTGCCGGCTCGCTGTCCTTCGCGTCGTGGTCGGACCTGCAATGGAAGGGAATGGATTTCTTGACTAAGCGCAGGACAGCAGTCAATTACATTTTAATTGGACAAGAAATTCCTGGCTAACCTTTCTTGTGCGGCGCTACCAAATGAGAGATGGGAGAAAGGAAGGGCTCAAGTTTTCCTCCGCTCGCAGTTTCTGCAGCTTTGCAAACTATAAGAAGTCTTAGGGTGTCGTTGGTCTCTGCGGGTTTATATAGTCTTACCAGTGGACGATGCAGGAAGTGCACTCGGACGTAGCGGACCACCCTCTCCCCCTCCCCACTGCATGGTCATCTGCAATACAGCATCATTTGTAAACTGTGTATGTGTGTGTGGGTGTGTGTTTGTAATTTAACCCTCCTGTTGTGCACGTGTCTTTCTAACAAGGTGCATGGGTCAACGTGATTACGTTAAAGCATCAAACAATGCACTTTTTTTGGGGGGGGGGTTGTTCATTTCAAGTGTAACTTGCAACAGAGAAGGTCTGCTTTAGTTTAAGGATAATGGGAAGTAATCATTCACAATATTGTCATCAGATCCAGTTGAAGAGTCATAAAACTCTTCCAAACTTCCATAAAACTTTAATAGGAAGTTGAGGGTTTTTTTTTCTTTGAAAATGCATGTTTTGAAAACGTATGCATTGAACTATATATATATAT